AGCTCTCAGAATGTTGAAGTCAACTCTGCATCCTGTGAAAAGCACCACCATCTTGGACTGAAAGAGGGCAGGTCAGCTCAAAACACAAAGAGCCTTCTGGGCCCCAACCCTCTAAAGGAATGAATTGAGAAAGATACTCATCTGCATTTACAAGCCATTTCTTATAAATAAGGAATGACATCTCGGAGGACAGAGCCAAGAACTATGAAGAACAATGGACTAGGGTACCACTCCCAGAGAGCTGCAGACAACAACAGACTGAAGCAACACTCCCAGGAAGCTGAGTCCCAGCCTAATTTGAGGGAGATGTCCTGACCCTGGGGTATGGGGATCAGGCAACATGTGCCTGGCAAGATTTCAGAATTCCTGTGGACTGCTATGTGTCCCCCAAGAACCCCCTTTCAAATGGTTCTCTCTATTGCAGTTCTCATGGTCTTGTCTCATCACTGTATAACTTATCTTTTTAGTGCAACTGGATCAAGAGGAGCTGCATCCAAAAAATCACTTCCAGATATGGTTATATGTCAAGAAATCCTGGACTTTGAGGCCGATGTTGTGACAGGATGAAATTCAGGGTGTCTTAGAAAGGAGAAAAAAATAAGGGAAAAAGAAAAAAAAGGAGGAAATGCATTTTGCACATGGGAGGGATATAATAATCAGGGCAAAGACCTTCTGTGGTAAGTTGTGTCAGTAACAGTCTTTAATTGTTCACACTTGCCTGTATTCAAGCCTTAGTTAATCCGCCCGCACTCTGGCTTGGCTGTGTGACTTATTCCAGCCAATGAGACATTGGCAACTTGGGACCAACAGAACCTTGAAAGTACTCACACATGGGAGCTTGCCTATTCCGGCTGCTCCTAGAACCACCATCTGAACAGGCACAGACTAGTCTGCTGCATGATGACAGGCACATGACCCAATCACCCCAACTACCCCAGCCAATAGCCAGTAACCCCTAGAAGCAGAGCCAACTAGATGACCAACAGCTGACCATAGATAAATGAGTGAAACTAGTCAAGAACCAATCAGTTGAGCTCATTCCAACTGCCAACCAGCAAATGACAAGCGAGATAAATCGCCGTTGTTCTAAACCACTGTGTTGTGCATAATAAAGTAGCAAAGAACAATGTTCTAAGTCACATCCAGCAAATTATAGCCTGCAGGCCAAATTCAAGTTACCCCCTGTTTTTGGACAGCTTACAAACTAAGAATGGTTTTTACATTTTTAAATGGTTAAAAACAAGAACAACGATATTTTATGAGATAAGAAAGTTATGTGACATTCAAATTACAGTGTCCCTACATAAATTTTATTGGAACACAACTACACCCACTTGTTTACCTATTTTGCACTTCAATGGCAAAGTGGAATAGTGAGGACAGAGACTAAATTGCCTGGAAAGCCTAAATTCCTTACTATCTGGCCCTTTGCAGAAAAAGTCTGATGACCTCTGTTGTAACTCTAGTTCACAGTTGTTTAGATGTGGTCAAAAATATCGCAGCCAAGCCCTAGTGGGGGGCTCAGTTGGTTGGCGTATCCAAAAGGTTACGGGTTCAATTCCCGGTCGGATGCATACAGGAAGCAACTGACTGATGTTTCTCTCAAGTCAATGTCTCTCTCTACCCCTTTCTCTCTCTAAAAAAAAAAAAAAAAAAAATCAATAAACATATCCTTGGGTGAGGATTTTTTAAAAAATAGCACAGCCAACGTTTGGCATTAAGAAAGAAAGTGGATATGTAATACCCTTTGTAATAAAAAATTTTTAAAAAAAAAGAAAAGAAAGAAAGAAAGTGGGTGTTCCATGTGTTGGCAGGCCAGGCATAAGCTTTGGGCTGCCGTCCACACCCATGTGCAGCCACCCATTGATGGAGTTCAGTAAAATCCTATCAGAAGAGCAAGGGTGACCACTATGCTGTATATCTGAAACCAATACAGAATAATATTGAATGAAACTGTAATTGAAAAAAAAAACCTGTCTTAAAAAAAAGGAAGAGCAAGGACACACTGTGAATGACAGAACCCTGCAGCAGTGAGTGAGAAAGTGGAGAGACGGAACAAGGCACAGTGATCCAGGCGTCCGTGGGAAAATCTGTTTGCTGTCACTTGCTCTTTTCCCCTCTTTACAACATTGTAGCTGAAGCAACTCAAGTATCAGCAGAACTCCACCTTCAGCAACTCAACAGTTACCTCCTGCAAGAGGAAACCTAAGCTGACATCCAAACAAGCAAGCAACCCATCATAAACATGCTGCAAGCACAGGCATGGGGAAAGAGAAGACCGTGAATCAGAAACAAATGACTAATGTAATTTTTATGGCCTTCCTCTCATTATTTCCATAGTAGTGTCTTTGCTGACTCATTTTCTCTTATGTTCTCTTTCCCCCTGACTCTCCCTTTTGATTGTCCCAAGAAAACAAAACATATGATTGAAACTCATTAAATTTGAGTTTGACCAGAGACGAAGAAGAAAGAAACCAGAATGTTTACTTGAATGTTTACTTCCTACTTTCACTGGCCTCTACAATCCACAATTTTAGGCATAAAAAATGAGAAACAGCGAGAAAGGACAGGTAGACATAAAACAAGAGAAAGAAAAAGAGGAGGGAGATGTGAAAAAAAAGAACAAAAACTAGAAAACAACAACAAAATCATCTATTCTTACCTTTTTACATATGACCAGAAATTGTATAAAGGAATTTCAGCACTGTGAGGGAGGGCAGGAATGTCATTCTCATATTCCCCATTTTGGGAACTGCCTCCAATCTGTGACATTGGGGTCTGACATTGGTTAATACGATCCCATAGGTTTCAGGTATGGATTTCTGTTACAAAATCTGTATATTGCACTGTGTCCCCACCACTCAAAGTCAGATATTCGCCCACCTCCATATATTAGGCCCCCTTTACCTCCCACCCGCTTCGCTCTAGCTACCACCACACTGCTGTTCGTGTCCACAAATTTCAGTTTTATATCCAACATGTGAGTGGAATCATATGGTCCTTAGCTTTTTCTGACTGACTGATTTCACTTAGCATAATATTTTCAAGGTCCATCCATGTTGTTGCAAATGGCAGTATGTTGTCCCTTCTTATGGCTGAGTGATATCCTATTGTGTGTATGTACCACATCTTCTTTATCCAGTCCTCTAGTGCAGAACACTTTGGTTGTTTCCATGTCTAGGCTACCGTGAATAATGCTGCAATGAACATAGGGGTGCATATATCTTTGTGAATACATGTTTTTGAGTATATACCCAGGAGAGGGATTGCTGGGTTGTATCATAGCTCTTAATTTTTCTGAGGAATTGCCAGACTGTTTTCCATAGTCCACTCTTTTCATATTCACTGATACTTTAAAGCCAACCTCACAGCCTGGCTGGGTTAGAGCATCATCCCTAGACACCAAGGTTGCGGGTTTGATCCACAATCAGGACACATAAAAGAATCAACCAATAAATGCATAAATAAGTGTCACCACCAATCAATGTTTCTCTCTTCCTTCCTTTCTCTCTAAAATTAATCAATAAATTGACATTTTTAAAGAAAATAAAGCCAACTTCACACATACAGCCAGAATCATATACAAATATGAATACTTCAAAAGTATGGACCAACAAATTAATTTTATTTGTGATTTTGTGGGGTGGCTGAGGGAGGAGTTACATAGGAGATGACACGACAAATCTTTAAAACTCTTTCCTTCCCATCCTTGATCCCTTTTCTCTTTCTTTGAAACCCCCCCACATTCTCTTCCCTCTCCCTGTCACCTAAGTCTTCCTTCTCATCCCTTTCATTCCATGTCTCTGTCCCTTTCTTATTTGAAGAAATTTCTCCAATTTGTCTCCTTACCCACTAGCCCCACCACAAAACAGATAATAAACATGTACCTAAAAAGGCATGAGGTAGGAGGAGGGTGTAAATAACTAATACTAGTTTAACACATGTGGCTGATAAAAATTATAATAATGTGGGAGGGGCTACATTATAAAATATGGGTAGGGTGAGCTGTAACACCTGTTTAAATATATTATAAAAAACATAAAAGTAATAAAGTGGGAAGTATTTTCTATGGGTATTTCTTTTTATTGACATTATACCTTCTACTATAAAAATAACATTTCACTTCTGTTCGTTTGGCATTTGTGGTTTTCAATTTTATAATATCTATTATATCAAGTGGAAATTCCTGATAAATTTTGAAAGGCTTGCACTTGAGACTACATAAGCCATCTAAAGTGCTTACCGCAGAGTGTGTTTTTCAATGGTAACCCTCTTTGTAAAGTTGCTTATAGTGAACTTCTCCGATGGTGAAGTGGAGTAAAAGGCCTAAATTGCTTCAGCCCAATTCAGCAAGGTTTCCTTCCACTTACTGAAGTACACTTTACCTGCGAGCCTGCGCCACCGCTAAGTGAAGCACTTACCACACACCGCGTGCAGAAAGGTGCTGAGACTGAAATGCTTCCTCGCCACTCCCCGAAGAGCAAGAATACGAAACAAAAGTGGGCTTCCTTCCTGAAGGCTCAAATGACTGGGAAACTCTGCAGGAGGAAGTTTAGCTTCTCCCAGATAATGCTTTCCCCAACATCAGGAGAGAGGGAGAGAGAGAGAGGGAGAGAGGGAGAGGGAGAGGGAGAGGGAGGCGAAACATTATCTGGCTGCATCCTGCACACTCCCTATTAAGGATCAAGCCTGCAACCCAGGCAATGAGAGAGAGAGAGAGAATAAAAAGTCAGTTTTGTCAATTTTTATTGTCCCTTAATTCTACTTTCAAGATAGAGAATGGAACATCAATTCTAAACCATAGAAGTAGCTGACCTACTCAGAAATGTGTCATTACTTGCAGTATATGCTAAATAGAATTCTCATGCAGTACCATATATGCATATCTGTGTTATTTTAAAGTAGACTCTAGAAGTGGTAAGTGCAAGTGGTCTGCCAGAAGATAAGTCTAAGCCAGGACCCTACTCTCTTACCTATGAAAGGCCTAAAATTATGTTCCAGCTCTTCAGACTTTTCATTAATCAGAAATACACTAGTTCCCACACAATAGAATGCCTGGGAGATACTATAGAATATCCTTGATATTCCAGAACTTTGGGTTCCAATATTTTTTGGATTGCACATTCCATCAATAAAAAACGTTCAAGTGTGAACTGCCAATAGTCTTATATTTACTTTTAAATTTCATACACATACTATCATATTATATACATTTAAAACAAAATCAGGAAATTTTATAGACTAAGATAATGAAGAATAAAATATTTTATTGGTCAGTAGAATTTTTAAAATATATTTTTATTGATTTCAGAGAGGAAGAGAGATAGAAACATCAGTGATGAGAGAGAATCATTGATTGGCTGCCTCCTGCATGCCCACACTGGGGATCAAGCCTGCAACCCCAGCATGTGCCCTTGACTGGAATTGAACCCAGGACCCTTCAGTCCGCAGGCTGACTCTCTATTCACTGAGCCAAACTGGCTAGGGCAGTCAATAGTATTTTTTAAAACATGATTCTCACTGAAGGCATAACAATTAAATTATTAACATAATAATATGCTTCAACTTTTCAAAGTCTTGTGACAGGATTTGAAAGTCTGCTTCTAAATTCAGTTTCTTTCGCTGCATAGTTTTTATAATAAAAGACTTCTCAGAAACATATGTAGATCCCAAAGGGGAGAAGTGCATCATTTGGCAGCGCTTACTAAATCATGATGCTCACTTTTCAATCCCACTCAAAAATCATACGAAGATTTCGGCAAAATTCAGCCAGTAAATTCCCATCATCTCTAATTTCCATCAGTTGTTGCAAACCAATCACAAATGTGTTCACAGACATGGAAACTCTCAAGTTGATTTTAAAACAGATTTTCAAATTTGGTTTTTAATTTTTTTAAGTATGCCAAGATAAGAATTTTCTTATGTAACACACATTTTATGCAGTAACAGTGAAAACATGTCCCAGTGTCTGTTTTATAGATACTCCTTCAAAAAAAGAAAGAAAGAAATTGTTCACTAACTGTGAAAACTGCTTCTTTTTTTGTTGGCACAGAATAAATGGCTGTGTGTGTGTGTGTGTGTGTGTGTGTGTGTGTGTGTGTTCATTTTCTACAGATAGCATCTAGTTATAGTTACCTCTCACAGAAAGGTCAGCAAACTTGGAACCTTGTATTTGTGAAAGAAAAATGCAGTTTATCTTTAGTTTGACAACTCCTCCAAGTGTTTTGTCTCAGAATAACTACTGAACTTCCGTAAGGCGTGAGATGGCCATGGTCAGTCCCCATCTTAGCGCTAAACATTGTGAAGATCCTACTATTTAGGATAGGACACTCTAAGTCTGCTTAAGAGGCATACATGTAAACTGCGGTGCTCTGAAAAAAATGAAAGAAGATAATGGTAACTCCTCCTTGTGTTAGAAGGTCCCCTTTATTAGAAAAATAGTATGCCCTGTGAATCAAGTGACCACTTAATATACAGGCTATGAATAGTCAAGCTTAATGTCTTTATAATTTTTAGACTAAGAAAATCTATAAACAAAAATTCTAAAATTGTCTTAATACTTGACAACAAATTTCTTGAGCACCCACTGGGTGTGCTTCAAAGTAATGGTCCTGAGCAGTGGTTCTGGAAATACTACCTGGCATGTGAATTACTCCAGGATCTTGTTAAAACAGCAGATCCTTGGGCCTCATCTAAACCCACTGACTCAGAAAGTCTGTGGAAGATGCCAAGACATGAGCATTAGTAACAAGCAGGTTGTTTGGGTTATTTATCTCGATAACCTGCCATCCCAAAACATCGTGACTTAAGAAAAAATGATTGACTTTTTTCTTACAATTCTGTGGATTGGCTGGACTTGTGCTCCACATGTTGTCAGCAGATTTGACTTACATCGCTGCATTCAGCTGGGAGCCCTATGAGGCTGAATTATCCACCAAGGTCTGCATCCCAGTCTTCCCCCATGGGCATCTCACTCTTTCGTGGTCCCTCCCCATTCAGTAAGCTAGCCTGAGCTACTCGACATGGCATCTGGTTTCCAAGACGACCGAAGCAGAAATTGTTGGGTCTCTAATGAGCTACTCCCAAAACTGGCTCAGACTCTTCTGCTATATTCTGTTGGTCAATGCAAATCACATGGACTGCCCATATCCAAGAGGAATGGAAACAAGACTCCACCCTTGGATGGAAGGAACAGCATGCATGTACAGTGATAGGACTGCTGGCAGCCACCATTGGAGACAAGCTTTTACACAAATGATCTCACAGTAAAATTACACAATAGCTTTTATAAAGTCATAAATACAGTAGAGACTGTTGGATTTAACCTAAGAACAGTTTTCAGCATTCATGATAAATTGTTACATAGTTTTTGCATCAAACTAGCTATTAAGGGGAAGAGTAATAACCCTAGATAGAAATATATGTAGGCGCGCGGGCGCAAGCGCACACACACACACAACATGATAGAATATTCTAGAAGCAGAATTTCCTATGATGCTAAATTATATTGTAAATTTTTTACCATCCTTTCCTAAGACATTGGTTTTATCCTTGCAAAAAATAAATTGTAAATAGAGTATTTTGGTAAAAACAAACAAACAAAAAACCCACCTGTTTGTTAATGAAATACAAACTATTTCAAGGCCATGCTTTTACCTTAACCAAATCAGCCATATGTATTGCTGCAGTTGGCAGTGCCTGCCTGCCCTCTGTGCAAAACCCTTCCATTTATGGCCAAATAGCAACTGAAATTCTACCATTAAAGAATCAACCTCTTTGGTTGTTTTTTCAGAGAGTGACCCTGGGGCACTGGGCGATAATAGAAAAAAAAACAGAAAAGGATCCTCCAAATCAACAAGGGTTAACTCAGCATATTCCAAATAGAGGAGACACTTAGAATTTTCATCCAAAGTTTGCTTTAGAGATCTTGAGACCCATGCTTATGGAGAGGAGCATTAAAGACTGAGCCTGGCTGATTGAAGCATCTGCTCTCTCAAGTGTGTTCTGTTGCCTTCTACTTGTCATGAAATAATTTTATAGGAGGAAATGAAATGCTTCAGATTGGATCTCAAAAACTGAAGACCCACAGGTCAGATACAATGGCAGGCATGTTTAGTTTAGTTTGAGCATTTTCTTTTTAAACTAGAACTAGTTACGACTTTAAATTTAAAAATAAAAACACAGCACTTCAAATTCTTTTTTAAAAAAATCATGAACTTGCAATCCTGGACTTGCATTCTCATATGGCAACACGGGACTGGATTGATTGTAGACCACCCCCTACAGACAGGGCACATGCTCTCTTTTCCAGTTTACCATAGTCCCCGCTGCTCTGTTACTCACTCCAAAATGCTTACCTCATTTACATTATCTACTTGGCCTTTGGAGGTAATTTTTTACCTCAGAGGGGTTTATTAAAACTCAGGGATTTGAAAGTGACTGGGAGATACCATTTAAAAATTTATAAATAGAAAACGTCTACTCTATGTAAGGTCAGATGTCTTTGCTCTACATCCTCACATATGTTTGATACAGAGTGTGTGCACTACAAATTGAAACTTTTTATTTGTTCTTGTCACCAAAAAAATAGCTAATATCATTTATTAAAAATAATAGAATTTTATAATAACCTGAAATTATGCAAAGAGCAAAAGATAGGAATGCAAAATATGTGGAGGTCATTATCAACATTATGAAATCTAAAACAAAAACTCAGGAATTTTCCCACTTTGATGGTGGTTAATTTAAATACATCTGGGTGCCCAAATATTTGATTGAACATTATTCTGAGTGTGACTGTGAGAATGTCTGATTTTAGCATTTGAATCGGTAGACCGAGTTAAGCAGATTGCCCTCCCGGATGTGGGCCGGCCTTAGCCAATCCACTGAAGGCCTCAATAGACCAGGAGGAGGAGGCAGAGAGAATTTGCTCTTTCTGCCCTACTGTCTTCAAACTGGGACTTTGGGGTCTTTTCCTGCCTTCAGACTCAGACTTGGGCTGGTTCACCTGGTTGTCAGGCTCTTGGACTTGGACTGAAACTACACCTTCAGCTCTCCTGGTTCTACAGCTTGCTGACTGCAGACCCTGTGCCTTCGCAGCCTCCATGGCTGTGTGAGCCAATTCTTTATAATCTCTCTCTCATATATATAGTGTCTGTCTCCTATTGATTCTTACTAACACGACTTCTTAATATTTAATATCCTCCTATGGGCATTATTATAATCTCTGTGCTTACCAAATCTATCTTACTAACATGCAATTAACATTTTTATCTAAGGGATAGTAATAGTAGAAAGAGTACTCAAACTGGGTTCACCAGAAGACCTGGATTTTAATTCTAGCTCTACCCATTACTGTCTGCAAGACTGTAGGCAAATCTATTTATTAGTGACAGGGCACAACTGGAGATTCAGTATTTAACAGCCAACAAATTTTTATCTTTTAAGAGTTTATATTTTTATTATTATAAATAAAAACTTTTCCCCGGTCTAATTTGTGTGTGACTCTTCAAAAAACAGTTTTCCCCACACAGTTGTCCCCTCTAATGAACTCAATGCAGTTATTGATCTCTTCTGATTTCCTGTTACATTGGGAAGACATGTGATATTTTAAAGATACAGCATTGGGGAGCAAAGCATTGGCATTAGCATAAAATAACATTAATCTCTAGTATGAGATTTGAAAACCATAGTCTGGCTGGAGGTCCCAGTGAATCTTAGCTGGGATACCAGTCTTCAGTATTGTCAACTTTGTACTGACTGTAGAGTCATTTGGCTACATGAGGCTTTTACACATCTGTCAACTAAATCAGAGCTCCAAATGAAAAACCTGGCACCTAGAGACATTATGGGGATTTGTGAGTCCCCCTGGAGAATTTTGGGTCCATAAACCAATGAAAGATTACTCTGACACATAAATAGAGTATTTTCATCTGTGACAGATATAATCTTGCTCTGGTACTCTTTATGTCACGTTGTAGAAAACTATACTCGCTATCCTCAAACCAGCT